GGGGCGGTGGTGATGCCGGTGGTTTCACCGTCGTGGAAGTGGAAGTGGCGTGGGACTCCACCACACCGGCCCGGCCGCGCGCGTTTCATCCCCGGGAAAACCCGTGAAAACCGCCACTTGTTGCGTTACCTGCTCTCTCTCGCGGCGTGCCCTCGATTGAACGAATATATACCGGTGAGTATATACCGCGTGTATTTGTACACTCGCCCATCCCCTCCCCCCTCTGGCATCCGCCGAACCGCGCGCTCATATTATATACGCCGGTGACTCAATGAAATCGGAGTACCGCGAAAAAGTTGAGTTACGTTAATGATGTCGTGCGGGCGCGCGAATTTAGCGGCGGCGGCCGCCGCCGCGTAACGCCCCGGCTTGCATTTCCGAACTTGTTGATCAAACGAATCGCAGCGCCCAATTAATTTCTTCCAGGCCTATCCTTTCCACGAGATACGATGACTCGGCAATGAATTGCATCTGCACATACGTTCAATAAAGAGACTGAAAGGATGAATCGATGGAGCGGATATATGTCAAACGCGTGATATAATTTTACCGAACATTATCATTTCGCCATCGTGAGAAACATTTATAATGACAACGGTAGCGCATAATCAAACTGCGAGAAAGCCGTCGAGAAATCCGCAAACACCTATTATCGACTGCTTGTGGCGACCTTGAAGATTCAAGGAGATTCCAAAAATCGAGTCAACAGCTCAATGAAAGGGGGACCTGATGCTCGAGCAACGGTGGCTGCGATAGGAAATGAGAGGGAGGGGTGAGCGGTGAGCGCAGATTTGCATTCGAGGCGTGCAATTTCCGACGTTTTCGCCCCTTTTTTGCGAGATTGTTTCGAATTTGTCGGCCCGGTCTCGATAGGTAGCCCGATTCTATCCCCCTTTGCTCGCCGCCCGACTTCCCGTCGCGGTAAGAAGTCGACACCCTGCACTTACTACCGGCTAGACGCAAAAAATGTCGACTCCGACATCGACGGGATTTCGGGAATGAAGTGTTTTCCTCTCCTCCCTTCTCGTTCTTGCTCTCTCGCTCGTCCGCCGTGATTTTCGATGTAGGCGCTGATCACGGGAGTAGGTAATATCAGTGCCCCGGGGCCGCCACCGTCCAAACAGCGCGCATAAGGGCTACGCCGATCATGCTACCGGGTACCGAAGCGCCGAATATCGAAATTACCTCCCTCTCCGTTCACCCGTCCGCCCGCGGAACTAAGACTCGATCGATATAATCATCGGTCTCTCACCTGCGGCCACGAATCGATACGCGCGCGCTCACCGTGCGCCCCATGGAAAAGGTGGCCCTCGAGCAGGGCTGAGGGACTGAGGGAGACCGCGTCGGGGAATGAAGAGGGGACATCTCGAGAGGAAACCACTGCCACGAATCCGAAATCCCATTCAGGGAACCGAGCTCGGAATTCCACGATCGACGAAATTTATCCTGCGCGATCCCTGCATGAAAACTTTCAACATTTCGAGATGTGACTTTAAATTTACTTATCTGGACATTTAAAAATTTTGTTTATATTTTTATTATCTTATCGCAGCCTTAATTATTTTTACCGCTTTTTTTATATTTCTTTAATTTTTCTAAACTAAAAAAGTAATTCGAACAATTATATTTATAGTCTTACTTTCATTAATAGTTAAATATCAGCAATAAATTTATAAATCGAAATCGTATAAAATAATGCAATAGATAATTTTACCTTTCTATTTAAATATTGACAACCGATTAAAAATCAAAATCTGTCTAACGTTGTCGAAGAATTTACCTTTATTATGATTAAATATTAATGCTAATGAAAAATAAAAATCTCGATATCAGAATTGATCAATATCAATCATATTGGTGCAAAGAGAGTGAGTGGATGTGCCCTACAAAATCGTCATCTCTTATTAATTCTCAGAGACAGAGCGTTGTAATTTTCATCGTTTCTTGTTATAGTATTATCTTATTTATTAGAGATGACAATCGATAAATAATACAGCTGCGTGCTATTGTAAGCGCGACAGTCCAGCAAATGACGTAAGGACGTAAGGAGGTTAATCGAGTCCTCGCATCGCGATAAGGACTCCGCTCTTGGCGTCTACCAAACTCGATTTCCGAATCAAAATCAACACGCTTCGACCATCGATTGAACGTAACGCCGATATTATTTGCGATAACGTATACGCGCATACAATAGAGAGCAAATTTAAAATTGATTTTAATCGTGCGTTCTTTCGCACCATCTTGGTTGTTTGACTCACTTAATGTAGGATCCAATTAATGCGCGATTCATTAACACCATGAAAATAATTAATCATATTTGCTCTATGGAGATTAGATTTTAATTTTTAAGAGAACGAGTTAAGTGGAGTTAGATAACTACAGTGAATAACTTTATAATTAGATAGCAGCAACTAACTGCATAACTACAGTCAAGTCTGTTGCTTATGTCATTTTCTAAACTATAACTTCATAACTATAGCTCTACAATAATTGCAAATGGACGGGCAAGCGCCGTTCGAGCGTTGTTCTTAATTATTAGCGTAAGAACATCAACGCCGGGTGATATTTGCATATTTTCGCGATCGCATTGATTCACCGGATTGAATAGAGTCTGATCCACGAATTTCTGGGTCAGCTGTGGTGCATTGTTGCTTGTAGCAAGACAATTGCAACATACTTGTAGCAATGTAGCACCGTCGGCCGCTCGCGGCGCAACCTTCGTTTCATTAAATCCCCGCGCAGCCGCCACCCGGACTTTGTTGGAATAAAAAGTGGGATATTAAAATTGCAAATTAACTTTTGTGGCGGTCCCAATCTCCTCTCGCTCCCTTCTCGCCAGCCTCTCCGACGATTCGCGGTAGAATGCGGTAACATCGACGAACTGAGCTTGCGGCCTGCACGCATATGTACGCACACACGCAACGCCGGGCACAGCACAAAGAGATGTTTTAAAAAGGCTGGCCGTAAAAATTTCATCGTAATAACCTTAGAAATTTTATAGAAATCGTAAATTTGCCGGGGTGGCGCGCTCGCCGTCCGCCCGCGAAACCAGCTGCAATATTTAAACGCCCTTCAGAAATAATTGGACGACTGGTTGTTCCGCGGCAAAATGGTCCGAACGGGAGGGAGGGGGGAGAGAGAGAAAGAGAGAGAGAGAGAGAGAGAAAGAGAGAGAGAGAGAGCAAAAGGTTAATTACCGCGTAAAAGAAGAAAGGGGAAGAGCGGGAGAGAAAAGAGCTTCTACGCGGAAAAACTGACACGAAATAAAAAGGCAAAACTGTAAAGGAGAGATGTATAAATATAATTCGCATTCGCGGAAAATCTCGGAGCGCGTTGGGATATCGCAGATTGCTTGCAAAAATAGCTCAAAGAAGCGACCTTCGTACGCAAGATCGGAGGATAATCTGTCACGATCGAGAGTCCGCGAGCTATGGTATCCTTGGTTGTAAATTCTGCGTGTACGCGCGCGTACTAAGCGCGAGACGCGCGGGATAATGATACGGTATTTCTGGCATTCCGATAATTCGCCATGATAAATCACGCCTAAACGGACGCGCGCGATGCTGTAAACACACGTTGCGCCGCGCGTCCGCCGATCCTGAAAGTCGAAGATTGATGATATTTTATAAGTTCGTCGGCAGCGTTGAAGCGGAGACGCGCAAATCGAGAGAGTCCCTAACCGGCTCGCTCGACGACTTACTTCGAGTCCCGCGAGAAGCCCATTCGGTTGTGTTTCAGTTCTCGAAGAGTTATGCACTTTTTTATATCTTCCGAAATCATATAATTTCGATTGTCGTCACTTTTCGTAATTATGAGAAAGTTAAAGATTGAATCACACAATTTCTCAGTGCTATTTTCGAACGTAGGTACTTAAAGATTTAAAGTCAAAATAATTCTAAATACATGCAAATAAAAATTAAAAAGAAAATAAAAGCTACTTTCCCAAACAATATTTTACTATTTAAAAAATATGTATAAAAAGAGTATATAAAAAAATATTCTACTTCTATCCGCTTTGGACATCTTAAACAGATTCTAACAAATTGTTTGACGTATTTTGACGTTTTCTAGAGTGATTCTCATAAAAAGCCTCTTTCCGTCATATTTGATGCTTTCTTCTTTTCTAATACGCTCGAACGTAATTTCAACTGTCTTTACCTTTTGTAAATCGCCCATAAGGCGAGGACCGAGAAGCGGCCGAGACGAAACCTCTTTATCGTTTATGTCGTGAACGAAATATACGTATATATATATGTATATATTGCGGTCGCAAAGACATCGAAAACCGACGTCAAACGTCCCGCATTAAATTACATTGCATTTCCATGGCGGATAGACGAGAGACACGGTGCATATGCATACCTGTCCTTTGTCCGGCGCGATGCACCAAAACGGTGTACCGGGTGGGCTGCCCGTGAAATTGCCGTAACAGGACTACCACGATCTCAGGAAGCACGATCACCTCGAGACGACTTGGAATGACTAACCTGAAATGAACCAGAATTAATTTTCTTACGACGCATCCGGCTACATTTGCATGGGGCGGCGATTCGCGGCGCGGAGACGTATCGTTACGCTTTCGGACTCGAAACGTCTGATTCGAATCGTCTCGAGTCCCGGGGTTTCCAAAATTCGCATGCACCCAGTAGATCAAGAGGGGCACACCGAGAGACGTGCGCACACGTATACGGGGCGTCTCTGGACACGTGGTAGTTAAATCGAATTCCCCTGCTGTCCTGTCCGCCGGAGACACAAAGCAAAGGTTGCCGGAGTGGATGGGTCGCCCTGGGCGACCATCTAGCAAATTGCGGTATCTAAGTGCCCGCTGGAAACGGTCCGCTTTATCGCTCGGCTCTCGTCGAGAATTTCGAATTTCGGAAAGTCGCTCTCGCTCACTAGCTCGCTTCGGGGAGATCCCTTCCGCGAGCGCACGAAGAGGGGACTTGCTCTAAATCGCTAGAGCGACCAGAAATCTCGGCGGATTTTCATCATCGCTTGAACTCGGCGACCTCGTCGTAATAATTAAAGTTCCGCGATGTGAGTGAAAGCTAATGACGCTGCGGCGCAATGCGAGCTAAATTATTCGATAAAATATAAATTACTCAACATATTATATTTTCGTCCGTTGTATAACAAGATGGAAATTTAAATATACATATAATGGAAAGCTTCGCTCCATTTTTACTCTTAGACCATTTTTCCGAATCTTTTTCTCTTTTTTTTTCTGAATCTAACACGAAACAATGCAACATTACATTATAAAATAATTTTTAGAATTATATATTTAATCGTTTTTTTCAATAAAACTCACAATTACTGCCTCTCTTAATGCCTAGCAGAGCAATACTAATTCCATCGCGAGCAGAACATAAATTAACCGCGAAGTGTATTATCCATTCCGTTTTGCTACACCATCCATCCTGATCAGACCATCCTGAAAGTGCGTTTAGCGTTTAGATACGAAGGAGACTCAAATATGCAGCGAAGGGTTAAAACAACAGTGACAGATCGGGACGAAACCACCGCGCCGGGGTGGCCGAAGGATCATTAGGAGCGGATTTTCCGCCGCGCGATCCTGATTGCCTCACGTACGACGGTTACGCGTGATCATTCGGTTCGATGATAATTCCTCGGGCGCTCCGGCACGTCCGACTTGGGGAGGACGAGAGAGAGAGAGAGAGAGAAGGGAGGAAAGGGGGGAGGGAACGGAGGAGACGGACGAGGACCAAGAGGGCGATCTCCTACGATCGTACGCAATTACATGCTGAATCTTTAATGGAACGTTTCGAGCCTGGAATTAGTCGAATGCTGTGGAAAGCTATCGCCACGTAATGCAGCCGCGGTCGCTCTCGCGCGGGACCCTCCTTCTAGGTCTCATGCTGCGGATACGTGAGCCCCGGAGACGAACTACCGTCCGCTCTTCTCGAGCCTTTAGGTGATGGGAATCTGGGCGCGTTCTTCCCGCGGGCTCGGCCGTGATTCATGGATCCATTGAAACATTTAAGCGATCGTACACTTTGAAATCGACGGCTCAAGATGACAATTTGATCTATAGTGCTAATATAGTGAAGATTTCACTTATAACTTTTGTACTTTTCGCGCTTTTATAAGATATTCCTAATATAAAAATGTTTTACATTTCCTATAATTTTGCCTTTTATTTTTTCCTTTGGATAAATTAAACGCGTTGTAGTTAGCACAATACTTTTTTAAATGTCAAATAATTTTAACTAAATATTACTCTTAAATTCCGTTAAAAAATCTATGAAAGTTCAAACGCCGAACATACGCGTGCAAGTAAACGCGTGAAAACGCCGGCCGACGCTCTCTGTGGCCTCGGCCGCCCAAGGTACGTCCGTACCTCCCCCTCCTCCTCCTCCTCCTCCTCCTCCTTCTCCTTTTTCTTTGCACGGAGTATTATTCCGGCGTTATTCAGAAGATCGGAATGCAGGTGTACAGTTACGGTTACCAGTAACGCGCCGTATAGGTCCCGCAGTTGACAATGCCGCGACTTCTCGTCGCGGGGGCCTCCCCGCTCACCTCCTCCTTCCCTCACCGTCTACAACGCCGCTCGTCGTCGTGATCGTCATCCTTTCTCGCCCATTCTTTTCCACGCGCGACTCTCTTTATCCTCGCCAACGTCTCTCCCTCCCATCGCACGCGGTCGCTACACGACGCGTGTCTTTAACCTCGTCCACCTCATTGTCGGGTTCGTGGGTGCGTTTGTACGCGCTACGTGCTCGTACCTAGGACTCACGACGACAATCGATAACGTCGTCACGATCGCGGAGGACACGCACACTCCTGTCCCCTTATGTTAATGAGCTCTTAATATTCCGCGCGTTCCGACTCCTTCTGCTTCTTCTTCTCCTTCTCCTTCATTTCCCTCGCTCGCCGTGCTTTATCATCTCCTTCTCATCTGCCGTCTTCCTCGCGCGCGCACGACACGTCCGAGCAATGTTTGCCATTACACAAAGCGGGAATTAATTCCTCTCTTCTTCGATCGCGTGGCTAAATCCGTTACCAAGTCGTTACTAACTTTCGGCGAGTCCTTGTCGATGTACAGTATAATCACTTTCGCAAAAGCTTTCAGATGGGCGTAACTCGAATCGGCTTAAGTCGACTAGTCAAGTCGTTTTTTCTCTCGTCAAATCGTGATTTTTCACATTTCTTTTATTTATTCATATATGCAATCAAAAGACTAAAAGTGAATTTTTCAGAAACTCCTGAGAAATATTTAATTTTTCTACCTTTCTATAAAAATTTCACAGAAACGACAATGAACGACGGGTCAATGAATGCAAAACGAGAAGAATCGAGATCGCTGAACGGATAACAATAGCAATCGCCAAGGATTACATAAGTTCCACGCCAGTGGAGGACATCGTCCTGTGGAATCTGACCGATACTCCTTTCCATTCTGGAAACAGAGACCATTATTCTTGGAAATAAAATGATAGCCTTACGTAAGAGTCTCTTTGTGGGAGACAAAGAATAAGCTCGCGCGAGGACACGAAGAATCACGCGTTTCTGCGTTTAAGAGTCTCCATTCTCGCATCAGCCGTTTCTCGTAGCCCGAACTTGCAGCGGGCTATTTATCATCATCCGATAGTTCGACCGCCCGCCTCGATCGAAAAATTCCATCGACGCAATAAATAATGCCGCGAATTACTGGACGTCTTCGCGGCTCGCCAAGTCCGGCGATTCAATGGTTGTCAGCTCAAGAGGACAGCGAATTCTCATTTGTTTGATCGAGATGTTCATTAAAATTTGATTACTTCTGTCCGTAGCTTTAAAAAATTATTTCCTGCCGGGAAGTCTCATTTGTAAAAATTGAAGATCTTACACTTTTTGTTTCTGTATTACTTTGAAAATAAATTAAATTTCTTTCCGCCTTCGCTTGCTGATATTTTAAATCGGTAATCTTATTTCGCAAAACAACGATCATTTTAAGATGCAAATTATTCTTTTGTATGTTGAAATTTTTCTAAGAATTTAACAAAGCACTGTTTGCCCAGAAATCTTATCGGACCGGAACAAAACGATAATTGGCATACTAGTCGGCTCTCATTCTTCAGGAATCGAGGTTGACAACCGCCATTTGGAGCGCTCACACGAGAGAGGGGTAAGGAGAGAGAGAGAGAGAGGAAGGGCAGGCGCGAGGAAATACGCGGGTATAAGTTAGCCGTAAGTAAGTATAAGCGTCGCTCGATCGGATATCTCTCCGGCGCGTTTAAGCCGGTAAGAGACCCGATATCATTAATAATAATTATACAATTACATGTAGGTACGGTATCAGAAGAGGAAAGAGGGGGGGGAGAGGGGAGCCCGGTATAGTTTAGTGCCGTGTTATTATCCCGTTCTCGTCTCGAAGGCGGCGTGAGAGGCACGCCGGAGCGAGAGGAGCCGGCTTTCTGCCCCGGTATAGATATATGTTATTACTTATAATATTTCATCTTCGGAATTGGCGGTTGCGCTTTGTTTATGCCATGGGAACGTCATAGACGGTTATAACTAAGGGTGGAAAACGAGCCGCGCTCCCTTCGCCGCGCCGCATATCGGGCGCGCGGGTTGCAACGCGCGTTGCACCGAACGCGGCCGGCCGGCTGGCCGGCCGACCGAACGTCTCTTTTATACGCGCTCGCCCCTTACGCCGGCATTCAGAGAAACATACTTTTGCGGTGAGTTATACGAACGGCGGCGAGTAGTAGCGGCCTTTTTAACCGTTCGCCCGCCTGTAGAATTTAATTAAACCTGCCTACCCCGCGCGTTCTCGCACCGCGCGCCGCTTTCGCCTTTTACGCGCGAATTTTTCGTCCAAGAATCGCGCTCGCGCCGTTCGCGACTGTGTTTTACAGTTATGCAATCGTAATGCACGTAACTAAGCTTTGACTGTCGCTGAATAATGCAGCCGGTTCCACGTACTCCGCTCGCGGCGGAGAAATATTATGTACACAGCGCGGCGTCGTGTGTGCAAATAGTAACGCTGCGAGCGCGTCTTACAATTCGATCGTATCGCCCCGCCTTTCCCGACGAGGATGAAACAGCCGTAATTCCCTTCAATTGTCATTCAGTAATTACTCGGAAAGTGTGGTATGGAATGAAGGGCCCCGGGCGGTAACGTGATGAGCCGCACGAGGGAAAAACCGTGTGAGGCTCGGAACAATATGTTTATGCTTAGCATAAAGACCATAATTTGCAGACATCCTACGTTGCAACAAAGGTAAAGGAAAATTTAAATTGTTTCTACAGTTTTAATGTTTTCATGCTGGTAAACAAAGTTCTTATTTTCCGCCTTATGGGAATTTAATGATGCTCCGACGTTGCATGATTTATTCATTATAATTCTTATACAAACGGTTTATTTCATATGAATAATGGCATTATTAACAAATATTCAGTAATGCCAGACTTGCGAAGCATTTGAATATCCAATGAATGGCCAGACGTATCCGTTGAATATCTGTGCCGCGCGAACACGCATACA